TGTCTCAATTGACAGACATTTAAAGGACTTAATAATACTGACGACTGGCGTCCAAACCCTGTCTTTGGTCTCCAATTATATATGGATTTTATGGCTTTTTGTGAGTCTATGACCAACACTATGATCAACACTATGATCAACACTATGATCACTGGTATTAACGATTGATTGTGTGGTTGTAGGCCCCGGGTCGTGCCCTATACATGTTATGGGTGAACATATTAGGACCCTGGTTCTTCCAACAGCCCGATCAACAGCAGGTCGACGCCGACGACAAGAAGCAGAAAAAGTTGGACCGAAGGATGCGACGAATGCAATGATTTTGGTCTCACTTTCACGTGTTTTTGCATTTAGTTTTAAATTGTATATAAAATCGTGATTTAAATTTAATTTTAATAAAAACGAGTTAAAAGACGTTAAATTATTTTTATTTGTAAAATAATAAGTTATTATTAATAACCATTTCTAATACTATTGAAAATCTTGGTTCACAATAATTTCTATACCGGTAATAATTTTGTGTTTTATTGAATAAATAGATTAAACATAATTTGTTACTACTGTACTGTAATTATAGATTATTTGGCAAATCGACAGTTTTGATTCAAAATTTTAAATGAGTATACCGTACAAGTTTAATTTGTAATCAAGATTATGAATACTGTACTGATAAATAAATGATTACCGGTACCATTTTACAATATCTGCTTTTACTTTACCTATAATACTGATTTAAAAAATACCAAATTATAAAAATATTCTACTATACAGTACTGATAGTAAATACTGTACTGTATTTGATAAAATATCTACAATGTTATCATAAAGTGATTAAAATAATTTTAAACAAATTGACTATAAGTGTTAAATGGCTAAAACAGATCTATAGATTGCCTCTAAGTATTTGTTGGGCTTCGATGGCCTCAAAGAGAGCCTTAATATTTCCGGCACCGAAACCATTATAATTGTGTCTTTCAATGATTTCAAAGAAAAGAGTGGGTCTATCGTCCACTGGTTTAGTGAATATTTGCAACAAATATCCATTTTCATCGAAATCAACCAGAATTCGCAGCTCCTGTAGTTTGCAAATCTCATGCTTTACCACATCATCGCATTTGAGTCTTTCGGTCAGCCGTTCATAATAAATGTCTGGAGTCGAGAGAAACTCCACTCCTGTTTGGCATAAATCACAATAAATTATTACAACATTTAAATTAATTTCAGTTTTCATAAGCAGTTATGTCACGTTATGGTGTGAATTAAATTCAAATGCATTTACAAATTGTTTTGTTACCAAATGTTTAATTGCATGAAAAACTTAAATTCTTTTAGTCATGCTTTTGAAACAAAAGCCTTAAGTTATAAGAAATATATTCAAAACAAGAAACCAGACTGTATTTGGACTAAAATGAGATATCATTTGAATAAATTAAAGTAACAGTTAGAATATGAAACAACAAAAAATAGTATAATGTATCTCGAGTACAGTATAATGATATGAATGATATGATATGAAATAAATACTGCATTTGTTTGACATTTGAATTTAATCTAATCTATAGATAAGTTTGGGAAAAGGGTTTAAAATGATTTAAATGTTGTTCATTGAAATACCTCTGAGTTTAAGTTTAGCCACAGTAACACAAATATCACTGGTATACAGAGCAATGTGTTGAACTCCTGGACCATAGTTATAGTCGAGAAACTCTTGTATTTGCGAGCGTTTGGCTCCGGGACCCGGCTCTACGACAGGGATTTTGATGTTTTCATTTTCATTGGTCATAAATATGGTCCTCAGGCCCGACAGTTGGGTACCAATGATGGTGTCGTCCACTGACCAAAATCTCTGAAACCCCAATACATTTTCATACCTTTTGGCGAAAAAATACAAAACATGTTTCGATATATAAAAGTTAAACTTGTTTTTTATAAAACATAGTCTATGTCTATATCGTAGACTATACTATTATGTAAGCTTATGTACGGAAAACTTGATGCAAATAATTATAAATCAAAACCAATAAAAATGGATTTAGATTTCAAGAGCAAGAAAAAAGAGTCATGTCTTAAACTAACATAAAATTAAATATATAACTATTAAACGGTTAAACCGAGTCTAAAATCAGATAATTATCAAAATATATTTTAATGATAATTTTGTTTATTATTATATTTAGTGTTTCTCTCTTCAATGCATACCATTTAATAGTCTCAACGAATAATTAGAGCAAAACATTAAGAAAATACTTTTTATTATCAATAGTCAACTAATTATTAAGAAATAAAATTTTAATAAATCATTAAAAATAAGTAAAACATTGAAATTTGAAACGAAAATTGTCACACATTTTACTAAATAGTTTCAGAAATAATTAACAGAAATATTTGCTAAATATTCCTTTGAAAGCACATTTTGTTTGTTTTTAAAGCTACTGCTAATTAATGATTGCTACTATATTTCTATTTACAGAAATATAATACAAAGCTTTCTATACATTCTGTATATTTAATATATTATATTATAAAAATCTATAAGTTTTTTGCTATACATTTAATTTCCATAATATATGATTTTATTCATAATATTCTTATTAATAAAAGTAATGCTCGTAGTCAGAAGATTTTAGCAAAACATGATTAGCAATGAATTGAAAAACAATGCAAAATACGTCAATAATGAACATATCGAGAGCAAAGATGTCATGACTCAGGACTTTCCAAATATTAATACAATGAGTGGTCAATAAACTAATGAAATGTCTAAAGATATAGATTCTAGATTACAAAAAACCAAAAGTTAGTCCATTGTAATTGAGTGTATATGATCTTTTAGAGTTTTATTTATTTAGAAATTCAAAATCAAATTTATTTTAAGGTATGCCTAAGCTATATTGGTTTTTAATTAAATTTAGATTAATTGAAAACATAACCTCGAAATGATTATTTTTTGCGAAACAAAAAATTGTAAACAACAAACCATAAAATTAAGCAAATTTTGCTGATCTTGAATTTGTAACATTTAAATGATTTTAATAGGGGATGAAAAAATTATTGTAATAATCTTTTAATATCTATTTTAATCTAATTTAATGAATCAACATTTAAAAAATTATAATAAAATATTCATTTAATTAATTTATTCAGCCAATCATCTAAAGATTTAAAGCATATCTGATGTGTGATATGAAACGAGTCTTACAAATACAGGTATATATTAATTGTTCAACATTTAAAAAATTATAATAAAATATTCATTTAATTAATTTATTCAGCCAATCATCTAAAGATTTAAAGCATATCTGATGTGTGATATGAAACGAGTCTTACAAATACAGGTATATATTAATTGGTTGTTAACACAAATCAAATGCAGATCTAAGCTGAAAATTAGAGCAAATTTGTATAATATACAAATATTATCTAGATATTATCTAGTCTCATCTAAATTTTGAAAACATTTTTTGTTTGTAATAAAAATAGTTTAATATAAAAATGATATCATCAAAGAGTTTACAGAATTATCTTAAGAATTATCTCAAGAATTATCTCAACAATGAGTAAATGCTTACCAATTGACGAGTGAAGACATTTGGCCGACCGGTTGGTTGACCGCCACGTGATCTATGAAACGCAGATCAATGGGCTCTAACTGCGACCAAATGCTGTTCTTGAGGACTGTCTGAAGAGGTGATGACTGCCATCCGGGAAGGAATAGATCTTTCGGATAATCATTGCGTTCAATGAGTGTATGGGTTATGTCTCCGAAGGCTAATAACTTTGAAAACTTGACACTTCCGTTATTATCTGATTCACACCATTGTTTCACATCTTGTCCACTCTTATGTCTTAATTGTGGCACCAATTCATCCAATGAATTGACATTAAATGCTTTTACATGAATACATAAGACACACCAATAATTGAGTTAACATTTAGTTAATGAATTTTGACATAACATTAGTAATAATTATGATGTAAATAGTAATTAACATAACTATCATTAATGTGCTAATCGTTAATAAGTATTTGTATTACACCGAGAGTTGTGAGAAAATAGACCACAAAATGTATAATACATTCAAATTTATTCCACAAAAATATGTCATAATTAAGACAAATGGGAATTAACTTAAAGTTTTACAAACTGATGAGAAAATAATGAAAAGGCAATAAAAGTTTGTAAATTTCAGAAGTTTTTAGGACAAGAAAATGAAGGTTAAGGTTAAGGTTAGGGTTTATCGACTACTTTGCGAAACAAATTGCTATTTTCTGGGAACTTTTGTTACTATTTTTTCCAAACTATTCAATTGAATAACTTTTTTATCATAATATAATACATTGAGAATTGAATCATTGGATGTGAACTAAGTTTAAGCCATCAGTGAAAACATTAAAATGTACTTTAGATGAGATAAGACCCTGAATAGAGTTCATAAACATTGCAACTCTCATACACTGTATTCTTGGCAAAAGTCTTATACTTTGTATCGCAAGTTAAGTGACCCCTAAATACCTCTCATTATTAATATGCCATTTATAAAAAAGCATTTAAAATACATTTTTCAATGAATACCTATATCTTTGACGGCGTCTCCATGTCTGGCAATATGGCCACTGATGTGGTCATTGTCTTCGCAATGGATTAGTGGCGAAACAAACACTAGAATCACATTATTATTGATGACTGCATGCGATGACTGCAAACGATCGCCACTTTCGAGACCTCTGTATCTGAATGGTCTGAATCCGTACTGAAAGCAGTAATTAATAGCTGTTTGCTTGGCGTTTGACACATAGAGAGTAATGTGAGATATGGACATGACCTTGGACATCATTTCTATATGATTTTCTATGATTTTCTAATATCACCAACTTGACTACAAGTTATATAATTTAAACTTGTATCAAATGAAAGTGTCTTGTCACCAAATAATTTGTAAAATGAGAAGTTTTGTCACTCCTTAGATTGACCTTGAACACAATTCCATTGAATTTCTGCCAAATTTCAATATTTTGTTGCCTTCAGTCCCGTGAAGTATCGGTAATACCGGTGCTGGCCAGGGATGTCAGGTCAATATGATGTGGTTGGGCGTGTGTGCCGCTATAGCATCGGGATGTATAGTACTATTAATAGACACACTATTTCACACACAAACTAAATTTTATACAGTACTCTAACTTTGAATGAAAACTAATACAAAACATTAATCCAATTTGAAAGCATAATTTTGTACTGAATTTTGAGAGTAGCATTGAAATCATAGGTATAAAATTTACACTATAAATACATTACGATTGCAGATACATAGGGTATAAGGTATAATCACTACTTAGAAATTATTACCTCTTTGACAAAAATTGGTATTAAAATTATAACTAATTTTAGGTCCTAATTGAATAGTGAAATCAATTCATAGAAACTGTTGTGAAAAAGTAGCATTATAGTTTTAGTTTAAAGTTTAGAGTTTGTTTTCATCACAAAATAGTTGACATTACAATTAGCGTGAAAAATTTACATTACACATTGATTGCACAATAGTTAACATTAATTTGATTAAATACTTAAACATAAATTGAAATGGGACAATTTTATTTCTATCTTAAATTCATTTAAATTCTGACGTCTTTTCAGACAATGTTTTTGTTTTTCATGTCTATTAATTTAAACGCATGTCTTTAAACGTAAACACGTGTCTCACTATCTTAAGTGAGTCGAGTCCCTGTCCTCCCTGTCCTCCCTGTCCTCCCCATCCTCTCACTTCACGTATTGAAAGTAAATCTAAAATATTGTTATTTGACAACGAGTTGACATCAATTATTGATTACAATTTGTAATACAATATGAATGCAAACCATATTTACTGAAAATCTGTAAATATTAGTCAGAAAATTAACAATAACATTTTGTTTTGCCAAATGAATGTCATGTCAATAATTTCATCAACTTTCGTTATACTAACAGATAATCATAGTGAGTGTGTTATGAATACATACTGGCATATCAAATATTATACAGTATATTAATACTATACTAATACTATACAGGTATATTTATTGTTCATAGGAATTCTGTTATCTATTGTTTTGCAGTCATTTTCATTTGTGACCACATTTCGAGTACATGTATAGAAATATATGCTATATTTAGGTGTATGAAGTAATCATCTAAATATGGTTAACAAATAATTTAATTTCTACTTTACTATTGATTTAGAAGTAGTGATCAAAGGGTTGTAGTGTTCAGAGAATACACATTAGTCTGGTTTGCAATGCATTGGAGGCAATGGTTTGCAGTTTAATAAACCTTTGGGGAGAGGGAGAGGTATACTACGAGAGACTGCCTGACTATTGTGATGCCTGTCCACCAGAACCTCAACACATGCCATACCATACCATACAATGAATTGACAGCCTGTAGAGGATCACCACACCATTCAATCCAAGGACAACCACTTAACACTCAACCGTTTTTTTCAGAGGCCAGCCCTCACTTGAGTCGGTCAGCTAATTGTCTGCCAGTTGTTCACCAGCACCGACACCATCACTACTTAATCATAGGCCCTATGGATACGCCTCTGCAGCCAATGACTCATAC